TGATCTTACCGTGTTCCTAGGAGTCCTGGTGTGGAACTGTGGGTTAATGTGCTGGACTGCATAGTCGGTTCTAACCACAAAGTCGGTGGTTCAAGCTCACCAGCCACTCCTTGGAAACCCTATACAGGGTCACTAAGGGTCAGAACCTACTCAATGGCAATTTATAATAACCATGTTCCTCGTCATCCTAAAGTAGATAGCTTGATGTAACAATGAATGACCTTCAAAAGATACAATTATAGTGCCAGCCAGTTGGTAATACCTTGCAGGGTTGTGGTAGTGTTCTTTGTTGTTGTTGTTGTTAAGTGCTTTTGAATTGGTTCCTACTTATTATGTCCCAGTATAGGATATCTGAGGAGTGGAAAGTGGGTTCTAACCACTGGATTTGTGATTCAAACTGACCTTGCAGTCCAGTGCATTAAGAGGCTGTATATGCTTTAAAGTAGGATCCAATATATAGCATTGCTTTTTCAGTATCTAGTATTCATTTGTTCAGGAACTCAGGGGTGGAAATCAGAGTGGTACCACTCACTATTATTCCTAATGAGCTACACTGAAATTATTTGTTTCCTGCTCCAGAAACCCTATGCTCTTCAGGTCTGTACGTTTTAGTTCCAAAGGAATGAATACTCTCACCTAGAGACACCACCCTTATTCCATTCAACTAGAAATTAAGCATGTCCCCTGGTCCCTGGGCCCCTCATGCCTCTAAATAAACAGACAAAGAAGGAGTTACTGTATTTGGTGGTGTAACTTATCCAGATTAAGGGATATTAGAGTGATTGCATAATGGAGATAAAGAAGACTTTGTGGGGAATCACGGAAATGCCTTAGAATGCCTCTTAGTACTACTATGTCCTGTGATAAAGTCAATGATTAAACTACTGCAACACAACTCCAACATGACTACTAATGGTCCAAATCCTCCAGGAATGGAGGTTTGGGTCACCCCACCAGGCAAGACCCATAACCAGCTGAGAGCAAAAGGAATGGGCCAGGGAAGAAGGTCGTGCTAAATATCAGCTACAATGACCAGTTGTAGAAACGAGGACTGTAATTGTTATGAGTACATTTTCATTGTATGTGTGCATCAAATATTTTTGTTTTGTTTATTTTGAAATAAAAGATATAAATAGGATTAAATGCAGTTTCTGTTGCATACATTAGTTGTGTCATAATTATGCACAAGTATGACTTTATAATTGTTTTTATTTGAATATTATATATATGGTTTAACAAGATTTATGCAGGTGTCAAGTTGACTAGGGTAGACTCTTACAGTTAAGGTTGCATGTCAACTTAACTGGGCCAGGATTCTTAGGGGTTTCACAGTTGTTGTTATGTGCCGTGGAGTTGGTTCCGACTCATAGCGATCCTGTGCAGGGTTTCTGAGGCTGTAAATCTTTATAGGAGCAGAAGATGTAATAATTCCCAGTGATGAGATCTGCTATAAGTGTCAATCAACTGAAAGGAAGTTTCCTTAGGGGTGTGGCCATCTTACAGTATATTGGACATTTGGGAAAAACTTGTTCTGCTTTGGGCTGGGTCTGAATTCTGCATCTGGCTATTCATCTTACCTCCAGTTCTTGGGCTTGAGCCAGTTGTCTGATGTATTTTCTACCAAACCTGGGTTTTATCAGTTGCCTACAATTTTATCTGCCGACCTTGGATTCATTCATCTCTGCAGCTAGGAGCTTGCCATACAACCTACTGATCTTGAGTTCATTAACTCATGCAACTATGCAAGTCAGAAGTCTTCACCTAACTCACAGACTTAAAACTTGCCCATATCTACAACTGTGTGAGCCATTTCCTTGATATAAATCTGTGTGTGTGTATATGTATATGTATATTTTTTCCTCCATATGGATGTAGATATAGATATATAATACACACACATATAATATGTCTGTTTTTAGTGCTGAGTCATTTCCAACTCATAGCAACTCTGTATAGGGTTTCTGAGGAGCAACTGGCAGGTTTGAACTGCCAACCTTATGGTTCACAATCCAGTGCTGATCCTACAGCACCACACAAGGAGTCTAAATATATATAGTTTCCAAGGCTATAAATCATTGCATGAGTAAAAATCCTCATTTTTCTCCTGTGGAGTGACTGGTGGGCTTGAACTTCCAACCTTGTGATTCACAGTCCAGTGCTTAACCTCTAGATCCACTGTGTTCTCCATATATATGTGTATACATATGAATATAGATGGATTGACACAGTGACAGAAGTAATAGGCTCAAGAGTAACAACAATTGTGAGGATGTTGCAGAACTGGATAGTGTTTTGTTCTGTTGTGCAAAGGGTCACTATGATTTGGAGCCAACTTGGTAGCACCTAAAGTTAAACTTGTATATATGAGTCCTAGTGTGGCGCTGTGGGTCAAACTGGACTGCAAACTTGGTTTGAACTGCAAGGTTGGTGAGCCAAGCTCGGTAGATGCTGTTTGGAAACCCTATGCAGGGTCACTATGGGTCAAAACCGATTCAATGACATTTAACGTTATACATATACATACACATGTATATATGTATCCAGTTTAATAAAGTACTGATAGCAAACACTATTGTGTTGTTATGTGCAATCCCAGTAGATTCTGACTCTTAGCAATCCTGTAGCACAAAGTAGAACTGCCCCGTAGGATTTCCTAGGCAGCTTATATGTATTTATATGAAAGTTTCACTGCTTTTACTTCTCTAGAGAACACAGACTAAATCAGTGGTATTATGTATGTATTTGTTTTTGTGTCTGGTTTACTTCATTCAGGATAATGTTTTAAAGGCTAATCTAGATCATAGCATGCATCAGAGTGCTACTTCTCTTTATGAATGAATAATACCTCATTGTATGCATAATTCACATTTTATTTGTACATTCACCTATTAATAGCCACTTGCATTGTTTCCATCATTTTCATATTGTTAATAATTTTGCAATGAAAATTGATGGACACATATCTACTTTAAATATATTTTTTGCTCAGGCAATTTAAATGCTATAATTCAAATCCTTCTATTCTTCTCTGGTCTTCTTTGCTCATTGTACAGCTTGAGCATGAATATGAGACAACTGAAAACACCATGATATGGGTCCTGGTATAAATTAATCCTCACGGTGATATCTTTGCTCTTTAAAACTTTCAAGAGACCTTTTGCCAAAGATTTTCTTAATGCAGTACTTTACTTGATCTATTGACTACTGCTTCCATGAGTGTTGATCGTGGATCCAAGTAAAACGAAATCTTTAACCACTTCAATCTTTTCTCTGTTTATCGAGATGTTATTTATTGTTCTAGATATGAGGATTTTTGTTTTCTTTACAGCCTGAAGAATATATTTTTTGAACTTCATCAGCAAGTTCTTCAAGTCCTCTTTGTTTCTGTCAAGCAGGGTTGTGTCATTGTATATTACAAGTTGTTAACGAGGCTTTCTCCAATCCACATAGTACATTCTTTTTCGTATTGTTTTATTTGCTCCTCATATAGATTGAACATTTATGGTGAAAGAATCAATCACGATGCACATTTGCATTTCTTCTATTCCTCAAAATATTTTTATTGATCACCATTTTTTTAATTTGTTATGTGGATATATTTGACTAGGACCCCTTGGGTGGTACAGTGGGATCAGCACTGGAATGTGAACCACAAAGTTGGCAATTCAAAGTGACCAACTGCTCTTCGGAAACCCTATACAGAGTCTCTATGAGTCTGAACTGACTCAATGGCTCTTAACAACAACACAGCATATTTGACTAAATAAAGTCTCTAAAACAAATCGACAGGAAATAGTAATTAGCCAGTTTGATAAAGTACTGGTAGCTAACACTCATTGCCATGCAGTTGATTCTGACTAATACCAACCCTGCAGAACACAGTAGATCTGCCCCATAAGAGAACTGGTTGCTTAACTGCTTACCCAAAAGTCAGCAATTGGAACCCACCTGCCTCTTCAGGGGAGAAAGATGGAGCTGTCTGCTTCTAAAAAGATTTCATCTTTGGAAACTTTATGGGTTGTTCCATTCTACTCTATACATTTACTATGTATTGGGATTGACTTGACAGCAACAATTAAGACACTGAAGCAGACCCAGTTCTTTTCTTCTACTGAGCAGATGGTGACTGAATCACTGACCTTTTGGTTAGCAGCTGAGTGATTAAACATTGTGCAACTCATGTTGTTTGTTGTTAAGTACATCAGAGCGATTCCAACCTAGAGTTACCCTGTATTGGGCTTCCAAAGAGCAGCTGGGTAGTTTGAACTGCCAACCTTGTGCTTGTCCTACAGCCCCACCACAAGACCCCTAAAAATCATATAATACTTAGTACTTTTAAAACCATGTTCAAACTACTTATTTAATCTTCTGAGACACCATGTGAAATACAGATGAATATTAAATACATGTTTGAAGTGAGGAAAGTGAAAAAGAGCAATTAAATAATTTTCTCATGGAAACATGAAGAGTAAGTGTTTGGTCAGTATTTAAACCTATAAGTTTGGTGAGAGTGTTTGAACTTTTAACCAGTACTCTCTTTTATCCACTCCCACAACTAAACTATTCTTTGTTGATCCAGTGTGCAGTAATTGTCTATGCTACTGCAAGATTTTATTATACTATGATTATTAATTGATGTGAATATTCTTTCCTTAGTAGTTTATGATCTGATAAGTAAAGGACAAGCTTTTTGTTTACTTTGTTATTTATATATTGCTCAGTAAAATGTTTATTTCACCTGAATTATAGTTTATTATTCTGTCCAGGAGAGTTGTACTCTGCAGTCATTGGTTTAGATCCATGAAACTTTTAGACCATCAAACAAAATGCATTTGCTACATTTAAGTGGCATATGTTTTCATGAATCTCATATTTTTTAACTGTAATTGTTAGCATAAAATAGATGAAGCAAACTATTTTGATTGATAAAAGAATATTTTGGAATCATGTTACTAAGTTGAAATTATTGTCTTTTTTAAATATATATATTTTTTCTACAGGGTGCTGCTTTAATTAGAATGCTGGCTAATTTTATGGGCCATTCAGTATTTCAAAGGGGTTTGCAAGTAAGTAAAATGTTTTATTTTATCTTAAAATTTTCCATGTCAATATATTTTAAAGATATTACAGTTTCCAGAATTGCTAATATAAGAATGCTGAATTTGATGCAAAAGTTTAAGATGCATAAGGTAAGCAGCGTCTTTCCTCATGACAAACGAAAGTTACAGAGACGAAGCTCAGTATATCAACAGACCAAACATCAAATGTTATATGATTTAGAGTCTGTTCAATTTGCATTTTTAAATTGAAATTGTTTTAATATGTAAGAGCCTAAATAATTCATACAAGATTTTCAGAAAGCCTTCTTCTCTTATTTTCCATTTAGAAGTTTATATAAAGTGAATCAATATTGTTATTGTTATTAAGTGCCATCAAATCTATTCTGACTCATAACGATCCCATACAGGAATTCTGAGTTGTTGACGCTGAACCACCAACCTTGTGGTTAGCAATCCAGTACCCATTCTACAGCAAAAATTGTAACATGATTTTTAATATACATATTTTTAAGTTTTTGTTTTTTCACTGTAGACATATACAGACTTTTATTTGTTTAAAGAATGTTTTAATGCCTTTTTTAAGTCAGAAAATACAGTGCTTTGTAAAATGAAAAGGAAAAGAAGCACTTATATCTAATAGATACTTAGAGTAGGAAGTATTGAATTTTGGAGCCAATTCTTAGAAAAAGAGGATTTTAAAACTCTTTTAAAGCAAACATAAATACAGTAAAATAAAACTTTTATTCCATTGAAATCTGCTGGAGTAAATCATGTTCTTAGCAGCTGTGATTGATGAATTATTTATGATGCATTCTGCTACTTAGAAGTGTCCTTTAAAGTAAATTGATGTTCACCTGAAATACAATTATGCTAAGAAAGAGAGAGCAATCAATCTTATCTGTTCTTAGTAAGCTTTTCATTTTGAAATTTAAATAAACTGCATCTGGGATCAGGTCATAATTTAGTAGTATAATTCTATCTTTACCCAAAATTTCAAATAAAGAAAGGTAAAATACAAAACGAGAGTTAAAGATGTTATGACAAGACTGTATATACTTAACACAATAATAAAAATATATATAAACTTCTTGAACACTTTCCCTTAGAAAGTAGTTTTACAGATTTGTTTCAGCAGAGGTTGGACTTTACTTTAATCAGCTCTTTCCATTAGGGGACACCTTCAGAATAGCTGAATCTATAGAACCTCTTTTGCCGGGTGTGAAAGCCCCCATTCTGATCACATAGTTGGCAAAATCTTTTTTTTCTCAAGGACTACCCTCTATGAATAACAACTGTCTGGAGGAATGTCCTTCTTTATCCTCATTTTCTCTGTTTTCTCCATTGATGTTATAGCATGACAGTTCCAGAAAATATCTAAGTTTTCATAAGGGCAACACAAATTGAATTTGATTTCCTGGCAGCAAGTTGATGTGAAATCATTTTCTGAATACAGTTTCTATTCTTTTTTTCTCATCTGTGTGTATAGATTTGCTCAGCAGATTGAATAATTACATATTTGGGAAGGATTATTGTTTTGCAACATTTTGCTTTATCCTGTTGTACTTTCTTTGATATGCAAAATACATACATTTTTAACACATCCTTTTTTTACTGACCAGTTTGTTCATTTTAATCTGAAACACTATTCACCTGACTCTCATTATATTAAACTTTGATTTGAAACTGATATTAATGTGTGGCTTTATGCTCTGAAACTTAATTTGGTTAAATTTCAAGTGAAGGACTCTATGTGTGTCAACATTGCATTTCATTTGACTTGTGATACCTCATTGGTCAGATAAATCTGTATCCTTCAGTACTTTACTTTCAGCTTTATTTATACTCATCATTCAAACTGATTTAGTGTATCATCAGCACTTTAGATTAGTTTACAGTAGATCTCTATGAATGGGTGATAAATTATCATCTCTTGTGCATGAAGCTGTGTGGGGTACATTTTGGACATGACCTCATGAACCGACACTTCATGCCATGGTGCTGAGTCCTCACAGACTTGATATTAATATGCTTCCCGTAAAAGGTTCTGGAGAGCATTGTTTTAGAAGTTGCTGAAATAGCTCATCTTGACCATTCGGGCTTACCTCTGCTGGAAAAGCTGTTGTTTTTACAATAAATTTGGCTGTTCCTAGGTTGACAAATGGAAATTTATTATTTGTAAACAGATACTAGATTAGATTTACAGTCGAGACAATCATAAATTACAAATAGTATGCTGGATAAACACTGGACTGCTAACTGCATGTTTGACAGTTCAAACCCATCAGCTACTCCTCAGAACCCCTATACATGTGTCACTATGAGTCAAAAATCAACTTGAAAGCACTTAACCACAACAATGTTTCCCCTACTGATCGCTCCTTTCCTTCCCACTAACTTTCTCTCTCTCCTTTCTTTCCTTCTCTTCTCTTCTTTCTCTACTTTTAATTTTTTATTGTTATATATACAACTTAGTTTTCATGTTCTACATGTGAAAAATGTTATAATAATGGATTTCTGATGATGTCTTACTACTTTATGTGTTTTGTAATTTTATGTAATCATACCTATCATAAAGGAGTCTTGGTAGCATAGTGGATTATGGGCTGGGCTGCTAACCACAGTATTTTTAATCTAATAGTCAATTCAAAGGAGGAAAATGAGGCTTTCTGCTCCTGTAAAGATCTGCAGCCTTGGAAACTCTAGATAGGGTCTCTATGAGTCGGAACCAACTTGGTATCAAACAACCACCACCACCATACCTATTTTAAGCCTTTTGGGGAGCAAGATAACTCTTTTTGCAAATAAAATTACATAAGAGAAAAGAAAATACATGTAATAAAGATATGATATTAGGTTTCTGGGTCAGTTTATATGTTCATATGAAACTTATCGAGTCCTGGTATGGCTCATTATGTAAAGCACTGGACCGCAAGGTCGGTTTGAACCCCAAGGTCAGCAGTCCAAACTCACCAGTAGCTCTTTGAGTCATTATGAGTCATTATGAGTCAGAACCATGGACAGCCCATACAGGCTTGCTATGAGTCAGAACCGGCACTATGGCACTTAAGAGAAGATTTATAATTCAACTTATAATGTATGCACACATAGATCCTACTACACTCTCTTCCTTTTATAATATTTACCAGCCACACCGTGGAAATTCTATACAGGCTCAGAATGACTCTGTGGCACTTAACAACAATAAGTAACATTGTATGGGAAAAAATTTTCACCCTTTTCATTACCACTTATATTTATTTGTAATGTTTTATTGATATTTTTCGCTAATGAAATGCATATGTCATTGAATGTTTTAAATTTGTTATCAGTATTATATGGGACAAATATATGCCATGGACTATGATGATAACATGTGTGGTCCACCCAAGCCAAAACTCACAGTGATCAAGTTGATTCTGACTCTTAGAGACTCTCTATGGGGCTTTGTTGTTGTTGTTGTTAAGTGCTATTGAGTAGGTTCCAACCTATAACGATCCTGTAATAGTGTTTCCAAGGAGCTACTGGTGAGCTTGAATCTTGCAGTTCAAACCAACTTTGCAATCCAGTGCATTAACCCACAGCGCCTCATGGGGCATGGTGGGCTGTAAATCTTTTTTTTTATAGTCCTGTCGTGGAGCTGTGGGTTAATGTGCTGGACTGCAAAGTCGGTTTGAACTGAAAGATCGGTGGTTCAAGCTCAGAAGCTGCTCCACAGAAACCCTATACAGGGTCACTATGGCTCGGAACCAACTTGGTGGCACTTAACAAAAACAACAAAAATTTTTATGAGAATAAAAAGCCTCAATGTTTCTCCCAAGAAGAAGCTGGTGAGTTTGAGCAGCCAACCTGGTCATGGCTTCTTATATGTACCACAGGAGATGAAATATTTAATTTCCAACTCATAGTGCTGGTAAGATGCTATAGGATAAGCACTATACTACTAACTAAAAGTCTGGTGATGCAAATCCACCAGCTGAACCTCAGAAACCCCGTACAAGGTTTCTATGATTTAGAACCAACTTGGTGACACTTGACAACAATAACAACATATGTATTCCTCAATAGGAATCTAGAAAATTTTTGAAAAACCTTTTGGTTTCTTTCGCTAATACATTTTATTAGATCATCTATTTGAAAGCCCAGAGACATTTTGTTTCAAATAATAACAAATTCATTTGGTCTGGACATATTGACACATTTTTGTCTGACCCCTTTTATTTCTTAAATTTTGTCTTATGTAACTCATTTTTGCATAAGTTTTTAAAAACATAAGCAACTTCACTTTTTTGTAAGTAGAAGGTATATACAAGGGATAGTCAAAATAATTCATGAAAAATGCATAATTATGGAAAAACTATGCATGGACTTCATAAAAATTTTGTACCAAAATAAATGCACACTAACTTGTCATAACAGATTTGAACAGGATCTAGCTTGAGGCACTAAAATTGGTAAGACATCAGTTTGAATAAAGCAACATGCATTCAGCTAAAATTGAAGAACATCAAAACGTCAAATTTATGGTGAGACCTGGTTGGAAGAAAGATGAAATTATTGATTTTCTACAAAAAAATTATGGGGAAATTGTTCCTCAAAGAAATCAGCAGTTTAAAAATGGATAAGTCATTCTAAGAATAATTGAGAGAGAATCTTCAACAATGTTGAAGATGAAGCCCATAACAGCAGAACATCCACATCAACTATAAGAAAACAATCTTGTTTGTTCCCTAATTGAAGAAGAACAATGATTAACAAGAGAAAAATAGTCAACATCATAGACATCTCAATTGGTTCCATTTACACAATTCTTACTAAAAATTAAAGTTGAGCAAGCTTTTTGCTTGACAGGTGACACACCTGTGGGAACAAGATCCTGAAGCATTTCTTAAAGGAATTTTAGCAGGAGATAAAACATGGCTTTACAAGTATGATCCTGGAGATAAAACACAATCAAAGCAAGGCTATCAAGAAGTACAAGTGATCCAGTAAAAGCAAATGTAGACCAG